ACTTTTTGCTGATTATCATCATTCGTTCATTGATGTATTCATTCATCGTTAAAGGTTAGTTCAAATGATTATTAGTTGTAAAAACAAATGGTGGTCCTGAGAAGGAACAATTTTTGGTAATGCTTCATAGTGATCGTCTTTTTATTCTGACACATGTTTGGTCCTTGCCACAAGGATTCCACATTGTTTATTAGAACAAACATAAGAGCAATGTAGAATGATGCTACCTATTTAAATAAATGTTGAAAATGTTGTCGTTGGCTAGTAATACAGGATTCAGCACGTCGCAACATGTTTGCACGGATACACAGAAAAACTCCAGGAGTTCCACGAACTTTAGCGGCTACCACTTCCGCTCGTTGTTGAAGCTCTTCGATAGTTTATGGACACTGTTGATTTCCATAAACTAACTGTTTCATCCAAACCCACAGATAAAAATCACACGGATTGAGATCTGGTGAACGCGGAGGCTAAGCTACAGGGCGGTTTCTATCGATCCACTGGTAATGAAAATGGCTATTTAACCTAGCAAAATGTGGTGCCGGTCCACACATTTATGGAAAGTGTCGTTGAAATTGTACTTCTTGACGAGCGTGCGGATTTTCATCGAACCAAACGTGAGTGTTGTGGCTGTTGAAAACAGCATTGCTAGTGAATCCTGCTTCATCCGTAAACAGAATCCAATTTAAAAAGTTAGAACATTCACGACATTGCTGTAATAACCATTCGCAGTTAATTACGCTACGTAGAAAATCAGCGGGCTCCAAAGCTTGCACTTTCTGAACGTGATATGGATATAGGCGTTAAAACTGTGAAACTCCAACTTCAGCTGCAAGTCGGCAAGTGTTGGGCTCTTCTTCGACACATTCCAAAATTTGTTCTTCAGCTTACAGTCTTCTTTCGGCACTATCACGTCCACGATCATGAGTTTGAGGCTTGAAGGTACCATGATCAAAGACGTTAATTGAACACACGACGGCAACCAACTGATACATGAGTGGCCCTTATCGTGTTTTTCCATGTTGCTTATCAGTGCACCGCTTTTTTGGTTCTTAATCCTAGTCGCCTTGTTTTTTTTTTTTTAATAGGACGATAATGACGGTGAATATTTGAGAGCTATTTTTTAGATTATCTGCATTTTTTTATTTATTACTTTATTTAAAAAACTGATTAAAGGTTAGTGACAAAATTTCATTTTTTTATTATTTTTATTTTACCGATTATTTCTTCTAGTATCTTGTAGTTTTAATTATTTATTAAATCAAAAATGTACAGTTAAATTTCCAGAAGAGTTATCGACACCCCGATTGTGGTCCCTGGTAGTTTGTGCACAATTGAATTTGTGTGTTGCTAATCCTTAAACCGCAAAGAAAAAATCCATATTGCATTGTTTATTCAATCACACTATACTTCCCACATCTGGAGAAAATTAAGTTGTGTCTAAAGGAAAGTCTAATTTACGACGAAAATTTTCCATCCGATATATTTTCTGCGCTAATTTTAAATTATTTACGTTCATTTTTTATGCTTTTAATATTTTCAATATAATTTATGTTTGCGCAAAATAACGTATCCCATTCGGCTTACCGCAAACTTTCTAAGACACTTGCTTGTATTTAAAATTTCGTTTAGCTCAGCTCTGCGCACAAACATCAAAGAATAAATATACACGCAATTAGGGTAACCCTTTTGGAAATGAGATTGCTCAATGTATAACGAGAATGTTTTTTCAAAGTTTTGTGTGCTACAAAATTCAGCCTAAATTTCAAGGCTAGAACGAGTTTCATCATAACTCCCGAAAATTTAATCTCTTTGAGAGCAAAGAACATGTTTGAAGATTTACCCTCATTTAGATTTAATCGATTTACCACGATCATTCATTTACTTTCGGCAGGGTAACGTCGGCTCTTCAGCTGGTATCGTCATTAATAAAACCTGCTCATCCCGCTGCAGCGCAGCTCTGTGGTCTTAGCTTTTCACAACCATCTAATGGAGTGAATGCAAACATCAACGCGTATTACAATTCAAAACACCATCTAAAACATTTTAACCGAAAGAGTTAATAAGACAAATGTTTAGTTGGAGGGCTCTCGGTATTTAATTGTGCGTCACAGAACGATCGGTCTGTTTTTCCTCTCTAGAAGAGTCCAAGGAAGGTAGAGTCCTATTTGGAATGGAAATGTGCCATTTTATAAATCCTCCATCCCACGTCAATAACCATTAACTTGTCCTAATTCGTTCTGGTACGTTTAAAAATGGGTGGAATTCGTAACTGCAGAAGGTGAGAGGGGAAGTCGAACATACGAGAACGAAGCTGAGATAAACTCGAGATTTATTAAGAAATATGCATTTCAATGTGAATGTAAGATATTCATAAATTTAAAATATCAAACGATTTACGAAACGCTGGAATTCTTTTATAGTCTTTTTAGAAACGATGCAAGTTTTCTTTTTGTAAGAATATCATAAAATAATAATATAAAGGGATATAAATCACTTTTATTTTGCTTAATTCATTTTAAATGCACCTTAAATATTACTCAAGGGTTCTGGGCCTCCGCACGAAGCATAAGGAAAGCCGATACGAAATTCGCATATGCTTACGTTATTTGGCAGGCGTTATAAAAGATCGCATTTATACTTTAATAACACATTATTACAAAAAAATATTTAATAAACAAAGTTAGAACCGTGCATCACCTGTCTGGAAACTTTCACTGACTTGCAGACAAATTTCAAAATTTTAGATAATTCACCTACGTAATATTTTCTTTCTACGCCAATTTGGACCGTATGTTTATCCAACGTTTATTAAACTCCGGCTAAATCTGGTAAAATAAACAAACCTTACACATTTCTTTTTCATTTATTATATCAAATAGAACAGTTTTAGTATCTATATCAACTTCCGAGTATCCGCAAATATTTATGAACAAATTTTTAATACAAAATAACCGGTGTTCCAAATTTTGTTCCACTTCCTTATTAACTGAAATGAGGATAAGTATATCTAAATGTATTAAACGTTACATTAACAACTAAGTAGTATTGTTACGTACTGTTTTTCTAGCTAAACTAAAAATATTTGTAACTTTTTATCTGTCATTTTTCTAACGGGTCTAACTGACACATCATATTTTTTTAACTTATTAACGCTAATAAATCAATACAATTGGAAGAAATGTCACATAAGTATCATAATTTACTGTTTAAAAATGGTAAATTTTTGCACATTGTTAAGAATAAATTCGCTATATTATGACCATGTGATGAAGTAAGCATTCATAATGAAAACACCGATTTTTTGTACGTAAAGCTGTGATAATTGTAACAATACAAATAATGTATATTTTACTTAAATGTTGTGACAGATTAATGACGTCGTTTATGCTTTTCATGCAAAAAATATAAAAATATAATTAAAAAAAATTATGTTTTACTTAAAATCTGTGATTAATTAAATCTTAAAAATAAGTGAATAGCCGACAAAATAACACTAAATTATCAAAAACAAAATTTTTATATTTACTTTACAACATAACCACGGACACGTCAACATTATCTCAAAATATACATTGCAGACGATTTTGATCATGAAAGACTTTAGTGTTTGAGTAGTGTTTAGTTACATATAAAAAATAAAATGTCTAGTGATAATGAGAATAGCAACATTTAACAAATTAGAAGCTTCATATTACACTAATATCATTATGATTATGAGTTGCTCCAGCAAAGATATAGCGCCATTCATTTTCAGTTTTAATTTTATCAAATTAAAATGTTTTATGCAATATGCCGTATATACTGTCATTTACAGAATTATGATGAAAGTATTGCACCATAGACAATAAATTTTTGTTTGTAAAAATAATAGTAAAAACAAAAATAACTTTACGAGTTGATATTAGATACTCGTATGTCCTAACTTTTCACTAATTAGACCGCCTGTACCCTTTGCTATGGCAACAATGCGTCATCAAGGATTTGTTCACGTGATTCCGTACCTTTGTTCCTTAATTTCATATGTGGTTTAGCTTTCACAAAAATAACAGGTCGTTACCTGAAAATTAAAATTAAGTGCTTATTGGGCGCTATTTTAGTCCCCTATTGTGGGAGATTTTGCAGTAAAAAAAAATACTTACTTCCTTTAAGCGAAAATGCCGTTCAAAATGGAACTAACATTGCCTTTTTACACTCAAAAGAAAAACTGTTTTCAAACTATAATTTTGTTTCGATAATAACTGCAAAAATTGAAAAATGAATACAAAAATCTATTAAACTGATTAAAAATAAGTATAATTACAAACATATTATATGGTTTTAATTCCTTACTGGTATCTCTGAATTGTTCATGAAACTTCATACGAGTGAAAAATTAGTCCTTTTTCATGCTCATTGTACAATTTTTACCAAAGTATTTTTCACATAGAAAAGTAATAATTCGAAAAATTTTGCATATATCCAACCTATTTTCTAGATATGATGAATGTTCGAATTTTATACAAAAACTGTGTACATAAAAAATAGTCGGTATTAATGATAATCGAATATATTAGTGTAAAAGTAATTTATATATAGATCTACGGTCTCCACGTATAACTTTATTTATAGACAGCGGACAAAGTTAGAGTGCCTAAAATAGAAACCATATGGGGAGGTGTCTTCACCATGAACTTAACTGAGAGCGTCGCCCGATGGTCAAAGTCAGATTTTTGTGCAAATTTATTTTTAGAAATTGCAGAACCAATTTTCTCAAGCACCCGATAAATGTAGATCTTTTCCACGAGTTTTTTGTGCTTTGTGAACTTCCTAGTGAATTATTTATTTATCAGAAAAGTGGGCCATAAAAATTACTGTAATTTCGTAGTAATTCCCGTTGATATTTTATTACCTCACTCGACGCAGAGAAAAATGAGTTTTTATGACGTAATTTAAAATGATTGTATTAATAAAAAAAAGTTTGCGGTGATAAATCTGAAACGAAAATTTCGAGAACCTACCTTGAAAGATCATAAAATAAACGAACACTCCAAAGCTGGCGGTAAATATGCCCTCCATTTCTTAAATCTCACTGTCTGTTCGGCAGAAAATTACATTTCACAAAATTAATTTGCCACTATAAATAACTATACTGAACTGTTATTATCCACGACACACATAAAAAGTTTCTTTAATGGCAGTTTGTAAGTCGGCAGATAGTCAAGATAAGGCCATCAAAATTACGGACGCACTTTTAAACAGTTTTTAAAAGTTCTGAGAGTTGGAGAAGTCGCGTATATTTCGACGCTCACCTCGACGCTGCTTCGGTTGTGTCTTCGACGCCGCCGACGCGCTGCTACTGAAACACGGCGTATTCCAAACATTCCAGTGATAATACTTTTCAACGTGTTCCAGTAGGTTGCGCTCGGTGGATCTCGTGCGCTATCGCGCAGGAGAATATTATATATTCTTTTTCAACAATTTTGCATGAAATGAAATTTATGTATCTATGTAGCGGTAGATTCATAACTGGAAACGATACTGGTTGTATTGTCCTATATACGTTTTTATTATACGAGGGTAATCCAGAAGCTAAGATGTACCTGACCCCACATATGTCTTAGTTATTTTCTTGCATACGCAGATTTTCTTTTTGTTATCTATGAAAAACCGCATACAATAAAGATATATCGTATTTTCGTATTTTCTAAACGTAAAACATGCTTTGATCAAACAGACGGTCCACCGACTGTGGAAATAAGTCATAGGTTTTTGAGCTGCTACGAATATTCCGAATATTTATCAAGAAAAGGTCGAGATTACGATGGGTATTAATAGATGTCTTCAACTGGAGAAGTAATCACAGATTTTTCTTATAATAATTTAACCACAAAGATTTTTACAGTTGTTTTCCCTTATAAATTTTATAAACTACATGGTGAAATTGCAAACAAAGAGCTAATAATTTATTCAGCGAAAATTCTCCTAGTTAAGTGATTGTCGTCAATTTTGTTCATTTTAAAAGACACTTTGCGCAATTAATTTTTTTTATCACTCACGTATTTAAAAGAATTATTATGCGCAACATGCATTATCAGACCAAGGACTTTGCCAATTTTTATGTTTAAGGCCAAGCTCAATTAGTACATTTAAATAACTGTAAAGGGTAATCATATTTCATCTTAATGCAGTAAGTTTTGTAAATTTTCAAATAGTCGAACAAATACGTTGTATATACCAATTGACAAATTGCTAAAATCACGCTCCAAATTTTAAAATCTGACGCAGACACCAAGCGTTAATAATTCTACTAGCCAATACATGATCGTTATACAAAAAAAGCATAACATATGTTAAATTTACACATTTCAGGAAAGAACCAGGTGATGATATACCCAACTTTTAATTCGTGATACGCTTTAGCTAAACGTTTATTTAGAATTATTACTTCAGCTATTTCTTGCTATTGTTTTCTCATTTTGTAGGACCGTGCAAGAGTCGTTCCAGTTTATAAGAAGAAAAACAAGTCTCAATTAACAATCGACTAATTGCCATATTAAATAACTTTGCAAAAATATTTAGATATACATATTCAGTATATCTTAATACCCATCTTGGTATCTCTCTTGTATCGGCGTGGCTTTTAACTGAAAAATCTACCATCAAGAATATCAGGACAGTAACGCAATATAAAGTAGGTATACCTGAACTTGAGCCATATGCTTCCATGTTCCTAATACTGTAAGAAATAAAAAGTCGCTTAAATTGTAAGTAATTGGAACATTATATCGATATAAGTTGTCTTTATAACGGCCAAATATTAGTGACATACTTAACAATCATTTACTGCTAAAATATATTAATGACACGATAGAATTAATTACTTGTAAAAATTCTCAGGAACTTAAAGTCATTATTTTATACTATGTAAAGGCAATACAAATGTGCTGCTGTACCATATCGTAACCCTTTTCATGTTTTATCACGATACATTCGTGTTTTTAACCTAACCTAACAAACTAGGGCTGCATATTTTATTTTATAAAGTTTAATAACTGCAGTGTTCTTTATAATGTCATCCGTTGTGTTCCTACTCTTGTTAGTGGTAATATTTGGAAAAATCATGATAATAGTACGAATAATGAAAAAAATAATGATTGAAGTATTTTAAATAAAAACATAAGATATAAAAAATAACCCAAATTCTAAAACAATTTTAACGAGAACATAAAATTCATTTTAAAAAATATTAAATTACTCAAGGCAGGGAACAAATGAAAATTTCTTTATTATTATTATTATTTTATTTTATTGTTCAATAAAAGGTAAAAATTGTTTATAACTAAATAAAAAGACTTAATATTGTTTTATGGAACAAAAATGTAGGACGAGGTAAAGAGACAACTTGTAGTTAAAACATTTTCTACATGAGAAAAATTATTTAAAGGTGTAGAAAACATTTGGAATAGCATTGGTCAAGAAACATTACAAAGTTGATTGACTTTGACCAGTAAGATGTCGTGAAATGATAACACAAAAGGGATACCCATCAAAATATCGATTTTTGAATGGATTTGACTAGACATTTCTCATCTTCTCGAAGGTCCCCGTCACCGCTTCTAGGCTTGTTCTCGAACACCCGTCGTGACATCCGCTTCCAGGCTCTTCTCCAGCCGGCGTCACCGACAATTAGTCATCATCGCCGTACATACTAGAACCCATAGGCGTCGTACCGGGGCGGCGTAGGGGTTTATTTTGTAACACTGCCCCCTCCTTATTTCTGATCGTCAACGGCGCTGCTGTTGTATTTCATGAGGCGGCCAAAGTGAATAATCTTCGTTTTCATGTAAATGACATCGTTGATCCTCGTCACGACCGTATATGGACCTTCCCAGTCTAGTAACAACTTCGGGCAAGAAACATTCCTTCTTTAGGGGTTATGAAGCCGTACCAAATCTCCTGCCTGAAATCCTTCTGAGAAACCCTTAAGGTGGTAGCGTGTTTTCATCTTGTCACCCGTCGCGACATCCGCTTCCAGGCTCTTCTCCAGCCGGCGTCACCGACAATTAGTCATCATCGCCGTACATACTAGAACCCATAGGCGTCGTACCGGGGCGGCGTAGGGGTTTATTTTGTAACACTGCCCCCTCCTTAGTTCCGATCGTCAACGGCGCTGCTGTTGTACGCCATGAGGCGGCCAAAGTGAATAATCTTCGTTTTCATGTAAATGGCATCGTTGATCCTCGTCACGACCGTATATGGACCTTCCCAGTCTAGTAACAACTTCGGGCAAGGAACATTCCTTCTTTAGGGGTTGTGAAGCCGTACCAAATCTCCTGCCTGGAATCCTTCTGAGAAACCCTTAAGGTGGTAGCGTGTTTTCATTTTGTCACTCGCCGCCCGGGTCTTGTGGCGCACCGTTCTCCTACAGCTATTCCAAAAGGCGAGCCAACGTTGTGGGGTTGCATAGGCCCTCTCTCCCTAATCTTCGGTCATCCACTGCACCGATCGTACACTTCTTGCACCAGTTCTCGACGTCTTCCCGATCACGGACCCAGTGGAATATCTCCATGACTTTGGAAAGCGTCTTGTTAATTCCAAAATGAGCACCGGCGTTCCGGTTGTGCATTTCTTGAAGTGCTTTCTTGGTTCTAATGGCCGGAACCACCAACTCTATAGTAACGTGCCTTCCGTTTGGACTTTCCCAGGCTCGCTTAGGGAATCCGTTCTCGACATGCAAGGAGTCCCATTGAGCCCATAATGCCTTGAGAGAAGGTGACTCGTCTTCCTCCTGGTGCTTTCTATATCGAGCTGTAGTCCATTTATCATCTTCTACGACTTCTTAAACGATCAATCTTGAAGACTTTGCTTCAATACCTACAACGTTGATTCAGCTTAAACTCTTCATTTCCAAGACGTAGGACTTCCCTCATTTGATCAATTGTCAGTTTACGGCGGCTAATTAAATCCATTTCAACAATGAAGTCATCTTCCGTGCTAGCCACGAGAGCTCGATGTCTTATTCTCAGCTGACCAATACAGATTTCTACCCATGCTTCGCCCATAATCGGCGTCGACTCTCCAGTTATAGTTTTCAATCTGACCATTTCGGGTATAGTTTCTACATCTTCAGCTCTAACGAGTCCTCTACCAACAATTGATACCTCAGCACCAGTATCGATGATAATTGCTGCTGGAGTTTCATTAATTTTCCCCGGTATAGTGGAGCCACTACCTCGCACGACAATCACATTTGAGATATCCCTGGTGCCCATCCCTATAGCATTCCATGCTTTGCTTAGGAGATACATCATTTTTCCATCTTTTTCGAAAAAGGCCATCTATTTGCTGGAACAATTTTTCTAACAGCTCCTCTGTGGTTGTTTTCTTCTTTTTCTTGTTCTGCTACGCTGGCTTTGTAGCATGTTCTTGTGCTACTGAAAGCAGTCTCTACTTCCAGAGCGCGTATGAAAGCATCAGCTGAGTTCTGACATCTAAATACTTGTAACGAATGCCATTTACAAAGGTTTCTGTCGCAAGCCTCTCTTGAATAGTCGGTGGCGCTTCGGAGTATTGTGGACGTACCATTTTTGTGACATCTGCCGCAAATTCTTGTAAAGATTCTCAAACTTTCTGTGTTCTTGTCTTTAATTGGGCTGCAAAAACTTGCGTAGATGTTCATCCCCAAATCAGAGCAGTGGTTAAGGCATTATATTTGCTTATAACTTCGTCGGATAGAGTTTGCAGTATCTCCAGCGCTGCACCTCGCAAAGCTATCACCAAAGCTGTATCTTTTTGTTCTTCTTCCCAGAGATTTGCCGTCGCTGCTGCTTCTTGTCTGATGACCAAGGTGTCTGACCATCATAGGTCGATGGTTGAATTATTCTGTGGGGCGTCATCACATTACATGGGCGAGCTGTTGCTGCATTTCTCATTATCTTTTCGAATTTCTGCATTTTGTTCTCTAATTTCTTCTATTTCATTCCTGTTTGCTTCCACTTCCCTTTGGAATTTTTCGATTAGGCTGTTTTGCTTATTTATTTTCACATCCAACATTTCCATTTTTTCGTTCATTCTTTCGTCTCTTGCGTCCATCTTTTCGTTCATTTTCTCCAATTTTGCTTCAATTTTTTCGCCCATTTCTTTGTTTCTTGCATCCATTTCTTTCATCATGTGTTTTACTTGATACTCCATTGCTGCTGCAGTTTTAGCCCTAGTCTCAATAGGCATTAATATTCCGAATTATTTTCCAAACTGCCAGGAAATCGTCGTAAAACCAGTTATTAATTTCAGATCTCACTTCCGACACCAGTGTTACGTTGAACGGGTATTAAAATCGG